TCGATTTTTTTGCATGCTAGCATGCTAGTTAACATTCGTGTCAGTCAGTTTTGGCTCTCACGCTGGCCAATAGAATCTTCCTGCCTATTCGTGGCAGCCAGCTATAGGCTCTCACTCTGGCCAGTACAAAATGACCACAAACTACATGAAAACTGCCGTAGAAGCATGAAAAAATCGATTATTTCCACTATCGATGAGAAATGGGAAATGCAAAGTCGGTTTTGGCCTTCCCGCTAATTTGGAGCATGTGCATGTAAATTTTGGTGCAAATCTGTCGAAAATTGCGGCCGTGCATTCGTTACACACACACACACACACATACACACACACACACACACACACACACACACCCTGCCTTTTATAGATAGAGATTCTCTGTCATTCATAGTCGCCCTTTGTGTCCTGGTGTCACTTAAGCCCTGTTCTCATTGCTTCATTCGTTTTGTTAAGAAGTTTAGAATGGAAACCTTTTCGAAAATATTCTCACTTCGCCGTCAAATATGTTTTTATTAAAATGGAATAATTCGTTATTCTTTTGATATTTCAACCTAAAACTTATTTAATGTATATTACTGCAATAATTTTTACAGTTAGACGTTTTACTACACTATCTTTTTACACAAATATTTTTGGTTCTGTAGAATGTATACTAATAATTTTTATATAGAATTTCTCCAAAATTTCCCGAGAAGGCATTTGATGATAAAATTTACCGTCACACTTAATTTGTTTTTGGCTGAGTTGTCAATTTATCGTTAAACTTTTCTTTCATAGACAGCGTATAACTAATATTCGCATTTGTAATAGTCACATACACAAATAATTAAATAATTATATATATATATATATATATATATATATATATATATATATATATATATACCTAAGATATGGATTGGTGTATACGAATAAATTCAATAACCAACAATGATTATTCTTAAAAAGCTGCTCAAAACAGAGTAGAGCAAATATAATTATTTATTCGAAAATTATAACATAAATATGTTATAAAATCACTACAAAAATAGCCATTTTGTTTCAACACCTCTGGTGTCTTACTAAGTGATGATGTTAAATGTAGAATAAAAGGTTTTAAAAGGTTCAAATGAATTAGCCACCCCTCTCAAGGGAAAACGCGTTTAATATGTTGATAAGACACCAGAGGTACTGAAACAAAATGGCTATTTTTTGTAGTGATTTTATAACATATTTATGTTATATATATATATATATATATATATATATATATATATATATATATATATATATATATATATGTCCACGTAGATAATGGCATAAATATTAGTGGCAAAATTGGGAGGTTAGGTTAGTCACATGACGTTCATACGGTAATAAGAATATTAACTGTTTCCTTATGAGGAAACAGTCGAACAGCCCGTCCTGGGTATGAATATAATCTACATCCGCGCGCTGAGTAAAACGATAAAATAAATCCGACAGCAAGTCCTCTGATCAAAAGGTTTTGGGCAGCATGGAACCAACTCTCAATGTTACCATGTCCGCCCTGACCCGCGGTGGTAGCACCTGTAAGGGTCTCAGCTATGGGAAAATGGTTAACTCCCAAACTGGGGTCGAAACACTACGAAAATGTAAAAGTAGCTTTTAATACCAGCAATATATTTTTGTGAAAAAATTGTTACAAGAAATAAATCTTTGAGGAAAAATTATTACCAGCAATATAAGTTTGAAAAACAAAATATTACCAGCAATGTATTTTTTGTTAAAAAAAAAAAAATATTACCAGCAATACATTTTTGGAAAAAATATTACCAGAAATACTTTTTTGAAAAAAATCTTATCAGCAATAAAATTCTTTTCGGCATTAAATAACCCATTGAGGTTGATATACTGTAAAAAACAAAACAAAACAAACCAAAATAAATTAAAAATAATAAAACTCCCCCTGTCTTTCTGGCTTTCACATATTAACTGTTTCCTTATAAAGAAACATTCAACATTTAGTCACCGAGCAGTGTCGGTTGAAATTTATAAAATATTTCTCTTAAAACAATGTTTCAAGAAAATAAGTTTTCCCAGTTCAGTAACTATTATCGCTCTTTCTCATACTGATGGTGTTTCCTTCCTAACCTTTTGTTTGAGGGAGTGTGGAATGTCAACATCTCGAATGGCTCATTATAATCTATTCAATTTGCATGCCCTATACATTTGAGTTTCTACTGCTGTTGAACGTCCTCAAATTAACTTAACGCCTATGTTTTGTCACGCACACTGACATGCGTACAATCTACCCATCCGAAAACATTTGATGTCAGTGATGCTTGAACATGGTCTATGTAGTCAAGTATTAGCTATTTTCTCTGTCTCCCCTACTAATACGAGTTGTGACACAAGGTCTTTTTTAAAGGTGAGAACCGAGCGCGTATATCCGGGCCAGGAATTAAATTGCCCGCAGTCCCTGCAACCGTCGGTTGAGCTGGCGACAGTGCAAACACCGATCCCCCCTCTTTGGTGCAATGAGCAGGCACCTCTCAGTATAATTATCCTTAGTTGCGACTCTGTCCTAAAAACAGAGACTGAGAAACTGAGATATGATAAATAATGTGTCAGAAACTACTCGAGAGAGGTGTTTATATAGAGACACAAGTATTGATTTCGTTGTTGCTCTTTCCTACTTCATATATATTATTGTATTTTATTAAACATTTTAAGACGTATTTTTTTAACTGTAATATTATTTGTATATAAGTATATGAAGAAAAATATACGGAAAAAACAAACAAAAATCCTTATATACAATTATGCTGTTTTAATGTTAATAAACCATCTTCAGGACATATTCATAAATTATAACATTATCAATACAACATGACAAAGACGATGTACATAAGAAAAAGACTTATCCAAACAGAATAACTGAAAGTGTATTAGACCGAAACGTCCGACGTTGACATATTAACATTAAAACAGCATAATTGTATATAAGGATTTTTGTTTGTTTTTTCCGTATATTTCTCTTCATACTGTCGCATCTATATCCATATATTTGCTTACATATAAGTATATATAATATATATAAGCATATTATATGTAATTAAAGACGTCACTCGAATGCTATTTACATTATTCGGACTATTAGTCGCCATATTTATTACAACGTTCCAGTCTTTTTCAGATGGAATGTCGAACTGAACCCTTTATTTCGCTCACTGGGGTAGACTGTTCTAGTGCCATTATCAGTTACATCCTGTTAATTCTTGTTAAAGAAACTATCTACTCCTCTTCTCTATCTGTTTATATTTCTGAGATGAAGTATTATGTACTCTATTTACAATATTCGGACTATTATTGACATATTTATCACAAAGTTTCGGCCGTTATACGCTACGGCCTTCTCCAAGTAGTTGGAATTTTGAACTGAACCCTTTATTTTGTTCACTGTTCTAGTTCTATGGATGTCTGTTATCAGTTATCTCCTGTTAATTCCTCTCTCTAAATTCTCCACCGCCTTAACCAGGTATTGAACTCACACTCTTTGGGTCCTGTCACTGGATCTAACCAACGTCTTTATCCACTGTGTCATGTGTCCTTGAGGACATCTGTGTATAAAGTTCTGGGTATTATAAACCTAATGCCTCCAATAATCATTTTTACAAGTGCTCATATTGCAATTTCTGCTGTAATCATTTCATTTTTTTACTAGAGCTCATATTGCAATTTTTGTTTTTATTATCGCTTTTAGGTTTATAATATCCAAAAATTCATACACAGATGTTTATAGATAATTGAAAAATACAACAGATTTTTCGACTAGGCAATCGCGTATCCTCGGATACTTATATGGTAGCTAAGAAAAAGGATACGATGCGACAAAGATGTAGTTCTACTGACGGATACTTAGAATATCTTGGACTGAACATGTGGCCAGCGAAGAAGTTATAAAGAAGTCCAAAACTAAAATAAAACATACATGAATTCAGAAAGAGATAGTTGGACACACAACAAGGAAGACGGCTTGGAATATTTAACATGCATAAGGCATCTTGAAGGTAAGAGACACTTAGGAAAACACCTAGACACCTATTTAATCTCTGAGAATGAATAACAGCGGATGCCAAGAGGAATGGTAAGTAGTCAAATTTTGTTTACAGAGGGCAGAACGTCGTGGAGAAACATGATCTCCGACACCCTGAATGGATACATCATTCAAAAGAAGTAGAATCCTCCTTTTCAACTGAATGCAAGATTTATTAGGTTGGTGCAAAAATAATGGGTAATAATGTCGTTTTTGACGTACTTTTCTACGTCAAAAAAACGACATTCTTACGTCATTATTTTGCACCAACCTAATACTGTCCCAGAGAGAATTCAAACAGTCAAAATCTAGACAGGACAACGTGACGTCATTTTTCCATCTTTGGAGAAAAAAGCACATGTTGCACTAGTAAATCAGCGTTTTTAGTTTTGGCCTCTGTGGAGAATAGAAAACTACATACGCCAAGGAATAGACAAAAGGTATGTGTTAATGCATTTGTTTCTATTTACCGTTCTGCTGGTTCAAAGACTCGGGTTGAAAATTTCTCGACTCGATCCGCTTTGCGAAATCTGACCAAAAGATCAGAATCAGTTTTGGTCAAGCTTCTAGGACGGGCTGAGATTTGAATAACCGCTCGAAGCTACGCGAAGTGTCAGACCTTTCCAAGAAGTTATTGATTGTTCTCAAATGATTTACTTATAAATTCACCTATAAGTCAATATAAGCCTATCTGAATTTGATGTGTTTTTGATGTTTGTGGTACAATTTTAATTCTATATTGCAAATGCTTTGACTTACTTGCTTCATTTATTGAGGTTTACACAGCAATTCATTTTTCCTTTGAAGGTTTCATTTTGGTGAGAGAAAAACGTAAGGTTCCGTCGATTTTCTTTCCTTTATCTTCACTTTATTTCTTTTATCTATCAAAACATTATTAAGGAATTGTCATTCTTTCTTTCTTTGGTTGTTAAGTGATTGGTTTCAGATCTCGAAACTTCTATCTTCTTTCGGTCTCACTGCTTTTTCAACGATTCTCTTTCTTTCTTTACTTATTACTGTTTCTTTCTTTCGCTATCAATTATTTTCTTTCCTTCTTTGTCATATATTTATTTCTCCGTCCATCTACGTATTTCTTTTTGCAGTCTCGTTGCTCTTTCTTTCTTTCTTTCTTTCTTTCTTTCTTTCTTTCTTGTCCGGATCATTTTATCTTTCAATATTTTCTGCTTTGCTCAACAATCATTTTCTTTCTATCTATGTTTGTTTGTTTGGTTAGTTGGTTCTTTCTTTCGTTCTTTCTTTTCCAAAAGATTTCCTCTTTCAATGTTTCCTTCTTTTTTCAACAATTAATTTCTTTCAGTCTTCATTCAAAAATGTGTTTCTTTGTTTATTTCTTTCTTTCGTTCTTTTCCGAAACATTTTATCTTTCAATATGTCCTACTTTTTCAACAATCAATTTGTGTCTTCATTCAAAATTATTTATTTATTTGTTTGTTTGTTTGTTTCTTTGCTTCGTTCTTTCTTTCGAACATTCTCATATGCTTCCTTTCATCGTTCTTTCTTTCTTTCTTTCTTTCTTTCTTTCTTTCTATGTTGCCTTTTCTATTCTTTCTTATTTCTTTTCATGGTCTTCTTTCTTTCTTTCTTTCTTATTCATTCTCACTTCTTTTCAAAGGTCTACTTTCTGTCTTTTATCTTTCTTTCTTTCTTTCTTTCTTTCTTTCTTTCTTTCTTTCTTTCCAAGTTCTTCTATCTGTCTTTCCTTCCTTCCTTCCTTCCTTCCTTCCTTCCTTCCTTCTTTCCTTCCTTTCTTTCGTTCTTTCGTATAGCTTCTCATTTCTTTTCAAAGGTCTACTTTCTGTCTTTTATCTTTCTTTCTTTCTTCCTTTCTTTCTTTCTTTCTTTCTTTCTTTCTTTATTTCTTTCTTTATTTCTTTCTTTCTTTCCAAGTTCTTCTATCTGTCTTTCCTCCCTTCCTTGCTTTCTTTCTTTCTTTCTTTCTTTTGCGAACTTTCAATCTTTCCTTCTTTTTTTCAACAATTAATTTCCTTCTGGCTTTATTCAAAAATGTGTTTGTTTATTTGTTTCTTTCTTTCTTCCTTTCACTTTACTTTTTTCTTCTTTCTTTCTTTATTCATTTATTTATTTTCGGGATTTTTTTCAATGATTCTTTCTTAATTCATTCATCCATTTCTTCTCTTTTTTTCCCTTCCTCTTCCCACATTTTGATGTCTGATATTTTTCCTTCTTTTTGTTGATCTATTCCGGCCTCGAATATTTTCGCACCCGAATCGACGTATCAAAAGAAGAACTGAGGCATGTGTTTCTTGCCTGACGATGCTAAACGCGCCTCAGTTTAATTTAAGTCCAACTACAAACAAAATAAAGCAGATGATAACTTCCAAGGGCAAACAAACAACATAAAAATATTGACAATCAGACGGAAAGGATACTAAACCCAAACTCTATTTTGTTTGTCACCGGCTAACAAACGCGTACAAGCGAGAAAATACCGACTGACATGAAAATGTATCATTTTTAGCCTTCTCTCTCTCTCTGTCTGTCTCTCTCCCAATCTTTCTTTGTAATATCTTTATCTTTTCTTTTTCTCTCTCTTACTTTCCCCCCCCCTGTCTGTCTGTCTGTCTGTCTCTCTTTCTCTCTCTCTCTCTCTCTCTCTCTCTCTCTCTCTCTATATATATATATATATATATATATATAAAAAGTGAACATTGAAGTCAACACAAAGAGGCAAGAGTCTGTTTCATGCGAGACGCAATCGTCGCCTCTAAGTGCTGACTTCAATGTTCACTTTTATATTTACACACCTATCTCTGATATTGAAAGCCTTATCCCATAAATATAGTACACCTTAATACTATATTCCTTTATATATATATATATATATATATATATATATATATATATATATATATATATATATATATATATATATATTCTGTCTTCTTATTTTTGATTTAAAACCTTTCGTACTCTCAGATAAGCATTTTGGTGTCATTATTGAAGAACGAGAGAAAATAAACGTGTTCATATATATTTCTTTTATTTCCAAGTACTTTCGACATATCAATGTCATCATCAGGGTATTTTTATCACACTTTTTCCTCCGGCTATTGGTTAATTAGTAATACTTGTATCACTAAACCATTATTATAACAGAAAAAAAAACTCTTGCAAGCTAAAAATATCTTCTGGCTTTAAATAACTTGTAAACGGTTGATAAGTCGGAGAAAATGATTCTACCAATACCATAATCAAAATGAAGTGAAAAAAATTCTCATTGATATATATATATATATATATATATATATATATATATATGCAGAAATATACTCTTCAGGTGTGCTATATTTATGGGATAAAGTGCTCAATATAAGAGATAGAGTGTGTGTGAATATAAAAGCAAACATTGAAGTCAACACATAGAGGCCTCTAAATGTTGACTTCTGTAAAAAAAAAATTATAAAAAAAGTTTAACGTACCTAGTTTTAAGTATAGCGATTTTCCAAGCGTAGCTCGGATGTGGCACAAGGCCGAAAGTATGGGGCACCCAGTGAGGATCGAACTCACTACGCAGACGTAATTGTTCTAGCGAGACAAGAGACAAGCTTGCTAACCATTACACCACCTAGAGGTGACCCCTAGTTTTAAGTATAGCTAAAATAACTAATGTGATTTCAGGCATTACTGTAAAACAGTTGGCAAATGTTTTCCGTGAACTGCAAAATTGTATTGCCAATGATGGAGGACATGTGGAAACTTAAATAAAATTTCAATAAAACCTTAAAAAACATGGAATTACTTCTTTCTAATCCTTTCTACATATTATTTCTATCGCAAATACAAATAAAGTTATAAATTTCTTAAAGTGAACACGAACTTTATGGACACCCTGTATATATATATATATATATATATATATATATATATATATATATATATATATATATATATATATATAATATATATATGTAAAAAAATATAAGCACCACTTTTTTCGTCTTGTGAAATTATTAAAATGTGTCGGAAGCCAACGGTACCCTTTAAATAAATACTTCTCATCAAAGTATAAGGGTCAAACCAGGAAGAGAAAATAACAATTCCAGTCGCACTGATCAGCAGTCAGTCAGTGATTTCCGTTTCAGACATATCATCTTAAGGAAATTCGAACCGTCTGCTATGACTTGGAACAGAATTACCGAATACACTCCCTGGGTGAAGTTCGGCATGAAAATTCATGAACAATGGCGCTGGAACTGAATCAAATTCACTCATTCTCGGATATAGTCTTGCATTTTAAAGACGGCCGTTATGTTCCTCTGAAGGCGAATCGTTTCAAAGAGAACGTGAATTGTAAGCGAATCTGATCACTTTTATATACGATATTGATTTTTTCTTTTCAAAATGATAATTCCGAAGGATGAGGGGAGGAGCAATTTAATATTTAATTAAAAACTAAATTAAGAAAGAGAGTCCTGAATATGCCATGTAACATCGCTCCTCGTATATAGCAGTAAATGCTGAACAATTTCTACACAGATGTAGGAAAATCGACGTGGTTAGCAAGCTTGTCTTGCTAGAACAATTACGACTGAGTAATGAGCAGGATCCCCACTGGTTGCTTCACGCTTTCGGTCTACGCTTAGAAAGATATTTTTATCAATTCGATGTGGTGCAATGGTGAACAAGCTAGTCACGTCCAGATCAGTTGCGACTGAGTTCGATCCGCAAAAGGTTCTACACACGTTCGTTCTTGTGTCGCATCAAACCTACGCTTAAAAATCATTTGTTCACTTCAACGTGGTGTGATGATTAACAAGCTTGTATCGATAGCTCAATTACGATTGTGATGGGATTTCGATCCTCACTGAGGGCTCCATGCTTTCGACCTTGTGACACATGTAAGCTACGCTTATAAAGCCATTTTACGAACTCTGGCGTGGTTTAATAGTTAGAAAGCGTGTTCTGCTAGATCCGTGGTTCCCAACCGAATTTAGGGCCAGGCCCCATTTTAGTATTTCTAAAATTCTCGTACTTCACTTGTAATATTCAATTCTGATACATTCAAAGTTTTACTGCAATCCACGTGAAGGAAACTTAAAAAGCCATTAACTTGGTCTCTAAACAACTCTCCAAAGACCACGGCCTCCATGAAAGAGAAACAATTAAAAATACAGTTAAATATATAATAGAGAACTGAAAGGTAGAAATACAGAGTGTCCATAAAGTTCGTGTGCACTTTTAAAAAATTATAACTTTATTTGTATTTGCAATATAAATAATCTTTAAAAAATGTTATAGTTTAATGTACCTAGTTTTAAGTATAGCTAAAATAACTAATGTGATTTCAGGCATTACTGTAAATAAGTTGGCAAATGTTTTCCGTGAACTGCAAAATCGTATTACCCTTTGTATTGCTAATGATGGAGGACATGTGGAAACTTAAATAAAATTTCAATAAAACCTTAAAAAATATAGATTTACTTCTTTCTAATCCTTTTTACAAATTATTTCTATCGCAAATAGAAATAAAGTTATAAGTTTTTTAACGTGCACACGAACTTTATGGACACAGGTATAAAATATTTGAATGAAAGCTCATTCCGTAATATACTTTGATCATTTTAATTATGAAATAATAATTCAAAATGGTTTAGATCAATGTTTCCTAACGTGGGACAGATACCCCACCAGTGGGGCATGGCAATATTTTGGCGGGGCACACGTAGGATGTGCACCCTTGGGCTTACTATACCAATGTTTACGGAACCGTCATATTAGCAAGGTCGATTTTACTGTTAAATCATGGATAATTGTAGTTTAAAAACAGTAAAATCGACCTTGATAACGGAAACGCTTCTCTATGGCTAAACCGGTAAAGCACATCAGGCTATATGACAGGTCCGTATAGTATACGGGTTCGATTCCTGTCGGAAGACGCCTATTTTCTATGAAAATTTCTCGGACATTCAGGCCGGTAAATGTCGTTAATACTGTTTATTATAAGCAAAGCATTTAACTTAAATATTTGCATCTATAAAAAGAACATATAAACATTAAAAAATGTCTCATATATATATATATATATATCTAGAGAAAGTGTGTTTTTTTTCGTTTGTATATATATATATATATATATATATATATATATATATATATATATATATATATATATATATATATATGTTTATGTGTGTGCATGTTTGTGTTTGCTCGAATGTATGCCTGTTTATCTATACGTCGCAAGACATTTATTTAAATTAGCAATACGGGGTTTATGGAAGACAATGTTTCAATTTAACTGAGCTGTCGAAATGTATTAAAGTCTGAAAATTAAATGTCATTTAATCAAGATTTCAATTTCAGACAAAAGCAAGCATCCTGTCACAATTTCTAAACAAACATATTGTTAACAACTCCGCTTAACTATAGAGCCTCTGTATTGGTCACTTAATCTAACTTAAAATTAACCTTCGCCTGAAAATTTGTTTTAATATAGGAATTTATAAATCTCATCTCAAAAGAAAATAGCAATGAATGCCGAATGCTTCCTAACAATTAAACATATATTACTATTCGAAATGAGGAGAACAGAATCTACACTTTGATGCCAACCTGATAGCCAGATAGTGAAGAAAATACTGGCTGCTTGGTCAATGAATGCTGGATGTTTCCTTATAGGGAAACAGCTTAGAGATGAGAACAGATACTACACTTTGAAGCCAGCTTAATGGCCAGGTAGTGAAGAAAATACTGGCTGCTCGGTCAATGAATTCTGGATGTTTCCTTATAGGAAAACAGCTTGGAGATGAGAACAGATACTACACTTTGAAGCCAGCTTAATGGCCAGGTAGTGAAGAAAATACTGGCTGCTCGGTCAATGAATGCTGGATGTTTCCTTATAAGGAAACAGTTTAGAGATGAGAACAGATACTAAACTTTGATGCCAACCTGATAGCCAGATAGTGAAGAAATCTGCCAACTGGGACATCAGTGGCTGCGCAGTCAATTAATTACCAAATGTTTCCTTATAAGTAAACAGCTATGACCATTGGAGATTAGGAAAACAAATACTACACTTTGATGGCAGTCTGAGGTACTGAACATAAATAGTACTGGCTGGCCGGTTAATGAATGCTGAATGTTTCCTTATAGGG